CTCTCTTATTTATGAGGGAGGATTGTGTCACATCACTTGAAAAAAAATTTGATAAAAAAATTTGGTGAATATCACAAAAGTCGAAACTTTGATCATATTTTCTCTATTGTTATTTACTAACGGTGTGTTTCATTTAATATTGGGATTCAAGTTAATTTAATTTTCACATGGTATTAAATTTTCAAATAAGTTTGACAAGATTGCTGTAATGATATCATGATTTTTTTTTTTTTTTTGATAACTAGAAATTTCTGTAAAATAATGCGATATTAAATTATTTTTATAGATTAAATCTCAAATAATTACAAATATCCGTTAATCACAAATTTTACTCAAAAAGTCTAAATTAAAAATTCGCTGAAACTCCACCCTCACATCACATCACAAAAATGGACTATTCGTGCCGGTTACGATATAACCTACTCGCTAGTACAAAAACGTAAAATACTCATGGCAGGCTCTTGGGCAGGGTAGCAGCAAAGTCAAATCAAGTGAAGACTAGCCCGCCAGAATTCCATGATTAAAGGGTGGTGATGGCAGCATCAACCCAATAATTCAAGTGGCTGCTTCTTTTCTGAATTCTGACCAACATGGCTTTAATTTGGGAAATTCTATGGTATCTAAAAAAAATAAATAAAATAAATTTGATATCGGTATTTTCGATTATTACTTTATATAATAAAATTACAATTTTAAAAAGAGAGACAGGTTTTATTCAATTATAGACACCGATAATTAATCATAAAAAATGCAGTATTAATCTCAATATTCCACAATCGATCATGTCTTTTAAAATTATAATTTACACCTTAAAAAATTATAATTCAACCTTAAAAATTAATAATTTTGTAAATAGAAATTCTATTTAATTTAAGTACCATCTTTGTTGTCAAAATTGAAATCTCTTTTGTGATGTGTGTTTCAAAATTTGTATCGAACGTAAACGTAACTTAAATATTAATAGAAATTTAGATATTATTAGTTTAACTTTTGATTATTTATTAAAGTTAAATTATAAAAAAATTATCTCTTACGAATATTATAGTTTTAGCATAAATAATTTATTTTGGATTAAATCAAAAAAAAATAATAATTAAAAAATACATAAATTAATTCAAATATATTTTATTGTTAAACTAATAAAAATAAAACTTGTGTCTCCTCTTCATCCGCCAAAAATCTAAGTAAAAAGGAAAAGCACACAGAAAAATCAAAGAATGGAGGGACAGGGAGTAGATCAGGCTGACGTCTGGCGGCTAGCCTCCACAGGAAGAAGTGCCCAATTTTTTTTTTAATCGGAAAAAGTCTTTTCATTCAAACAGAAGAAATATTACAATCAGAATTGAAAAAAGTCTTTAGCTCTCTCTCTCTCTCTCTCGGTGGAGTAAATGTGGGTGCAATGGTGACATTTAAGTCTTTATTGATATTTAGTACTACTTCCGTTTTTAAATATATGTTATTTTACATAATTTTTTTTATTTTATATTATCAATCGTTTAATAAAATTAAAATATAATTAATAATTTTTTTTTCAAATTTATCCTTAACTTTTCAACGTATTAAATTAGGTAGAGGGTAAGTGTCTTTCATATTTCTTTTATTCTCAATATGTATTGAATAAGAATATTTTAATCTTGTGTAATTATTTTTTACTCATATTATAGTTATTTAATATATTCTTTAATCCTTGTGCAAAAAACTTAAACGACAGATATTTAAGAATGGAGGGAGTATCACTGTTTAATAATAAATTAGACATAACTCGTGTCTGAATGTATGGTGCAACATAAATAAAAAATAATAAATTTGGTAAGGGTAAAATTTAATAAAAATAATTTTGAGAGTGATATTAGTGATCATTAAATGAATTGATTTAAAATCGTTAAATTTGTTTATTAAAACCGTCATGTTTTATATTATAGATTTGAGACCGTTGAATTTGTTTGTTGAAGTCACTATGTTTTTATGTTATAGATTTGACACAAATAAAAAGTAATTTTCTATTATTTTTAATCTTTTTACAAATTCTATATTTGACTAATTTTTGTTTGTATATTCCATAATTTTTGAACTAAAGGAAGCTCCAACAAATCATATTAATACTGCAAAGAATCAATTTTAATTTATTGATATGGACTTTTTTTTTTGGGTTTTTTCTTGTACTTAACTTGATTGACCCAATTAATTTTTTTTATAAATTCTTATAGTGGGTCCAATTAAGAATATCTAAAAAAAATTATAAAACATATATAACTAAAAAAAAATTCAAGGTGGCCCCAGGCCCCTCATCCTTCGCCACTGTCTGAAAAGAGAGAGAGTGGAGAGTGAGAAAAGAAAAGTAAAATTTAATCTAAATTGTTTTGAGAGAGATGTTGGTGGTCTTTGGATGAGTTTATTTGAGAGCATCGGATGAACTTATTGAAGTTTTTCCTATTTTATATTATAGATAAATCCACAAAATATAATAGAATTGACTTAAAAAAATTAATTTATATACATCTAATCAAAATCGAGTCAAATTTAATATAAACTCAAAATTTAATTTATCAAAAAGCATATCACCAAAAATAAAAAGTTCTACAAATAAAATTTATAAAAAAATATTTTTTTAATTACTTCAAGTTATTACAAAATTATTAATTTATAAGAATATATTAGCGTTGAGTTTTCTTAAGATAAAAAAAAATAGTATTGAACTTTTAATTTAAAATATGTGTAGGACATGTTAGTTTGAGATAATTAATTAAATAAATAAAATTAAAAATTAGTTATATTCAATATAAATGTGTTAAGTAGCACCCTTGATAAGTTTTTTATAATTAAAATGTTATCATTGTGTCTTATAAAAATTCAAAATATTACACAAAATAGATGATATTAATGAAAATTTTGACTCATTTAATTATTATGTCAAAAAAAATCATGTGTTTCAAGATCAGCTGTAATCGTTGACCGGTTAAAAAAAAATATTAAGAAAAAAATGGTAGTTTATCGACCGTTAAATAAATGAATTTGGGATCGTAAGATGTGTTTTAAGATCAACCATAATTGTTGACCGATTGGGGGGATTATTAAGGGGGGGAAAAAGTAATTTTTTAACCATTTGATGAAATGATTTGAAACTGTTGAATTTGTTTGTTGAAACCACCCTATTTTATATTATAAATTTATATATGAATTAGATGAATTATAGTTGGATGGTTATTAAATGACATAACAAGATAGTTATTATAAGAGTGATGTTATTTAGACATAAAAATTTGATCTAATTTTGTGACATTATAATGTGATTTTTTTAAAACTATAGAATTGAGTGCAAATTCTAATGTTTTATGGGCCCAAAAATCAATCTTAAAGTTATAGTGAATCAATTACACCTAATATTTTTTCCTCTTAGAATATCTATATGAGATGATTTAAAACACATGAAACCTTCATTTTTTAGTTATTTAGCCCAAAAAATCCATTCCAACAGATTATATTTAAAACATATAAAATAATATTTTATTAAAGTGATACTCTAAAATATAGAGTATCATTATAGCGATATGTAAAATTTTTTTATAATATTTTATCTTTTTTCGTCTCTTTTCTTCCATTATTTCTCTTTCTCCCTTTTACTATTAAAAAAAAATAATACAAAAGGAATGATAAATAATATTTAAAAAGAGTAGTTAAAAGTATAGAAAATCTGTTAAAGTGTGTATTGAAAAAATAAGTAGATAAAATAAAAAATATTATTTTTTAAATAATTAAAATAATTTTTGTTATCGAAGATGCTCTTAATGGATTTATGGTCCAATTATTTGACAACAACTGTGTAAATTTGGGCTTTACGACCCAATGAATAGCTCTATCAATTTTGCGAGGATGGTATGTAAAATTGAGTTTTAACATGATGCCCAATCCGATTGATAAATTAATATAGATTTTTGCTCGAGTTTTTCTGTAGAAAGTTTAATTTAAAATTGAACTCAAATTTTGAATAAAAGTTGCACCCCACACACACATATATATATATATATATATATATATATATATATATATATATATATATATATATATATAAGAAATATTAGTATATGGCCTGCAATTACTTGAGTATAAGTTTAGTTATTCACTTTTTGAATTGGAATTTTATACTTGGCAATAAAACCATAATTATTTATAGATAGTGAGCAAAAGATATTTAAGTTCTTTTTATTACACTTTCACTCCCACTTGATGATACGTTGTGTATGCTGCAATATGCATACTGTGTATGGAAAACTACATCGGAGAAAAAAAGTCAAAGTTTTTGCAACCGACCATATTAGTTACCTCATCAAATGCGCCACGGCGCCGACACAGAGGACAAACTAACATTTCAATTCCCGTGGTTCAGCCACCCACTATTTGTTAGAATTTTTTTTTTAAACGTCATAGTACCGATTAGTTTATAAGTACTTTAAATAAAAAAAATATTAAATAAATTTAAAAACTTGATTTAATAAATTACTGTCATTGAAAGGATACTAAATTCTAATAAATATTAAGACTCGTAACTAAATCAATGACAAACATAACAATCGTATCATTAAGTCAAATTTTTAAATCTGTATAGTATTGCTCATTTGACTAATCTCCTTTCTAATTTAGTCAAAAATAAGTTCATTTATACCAATATTAAGATATTTACTAGGGACAATTTCTATTATAATTTAACAAAAAAAAATTGAAAAATTTAAACTTAAAACGTATTAATTTCGTATGGGGTTTACTAATTTGACTAGTGTTACCACTTGGCTGGCCAAAGGGTTATTACCTTCTGGCGTCTGAGCCACTCCAACGGTTTCTTCGATCCGTCGTTGTCCTCCTTCTCCCTCCTTATTTACTACTCTTTCTTCCAACACTATATATATGCACAAAGAGTTGACGATAATGTAATATAAATTATTCTTATAAACTCTTGTTTGAGTAGTTTCTTACATATTATCAGAATTATACAGCTCAAAGTTTTCATGGAATCATCAAACTCATACGTCTCTTTATCATCTTCTTCTTCAATTCCACCAGCCAAACCACCCACCGGTTTTCGATCCTCATTGCATTCAGTTCGTAAGCTTTCAGGAAAGCCAATGAAGCAACCGATTGCGCCACTGCCACCAACACCGCCAAAAGTCTACAAGGTGGACCCTATTAACTTCAAGGAAGTCGTTCAGAAGCTCACCGGAGCACCGGAGTTCCAGCCACGGCATCTCCATGAGGTGGTGGTGCCACCGCCACTGAATCTTTCGGCAAGTGCATCTTCTGACGACCGTGATAACATTGGAGCACCTCTGGAGCTCTTTCCATCTCCCAGTAAATCTCCGTTGCAGGCAACCTTTCCTGAATTGACGACCGAAGCACAAGATGAGGAAAGCTGGAAGTTATCGGAGAGTTTTGGAGCACCGACTCTGAGTCCAGTCGGGTTCAGTCCGCCGCCATATTCTCTTGCATGGTGGCCCTCCTCCTCCCTTCTTATGAGTCCTGGAACTCTATCCTCTACCTCTTTAGAGCGAGGCAGAGTTTATTTAGGTCTTTCATGATTCGATTAATGCTATATTGGTACGTGATAAAATGTATAAGAGGAATGTTATGTGGATATAATCTTGAAGTCTAATTTGAAGATTTAATTCAATATAATTATTGGATTGAGAATGAGTTTCATATGTTTTTGAAACTTGCAACTAATTCAACGATTATATTGAATTAAGTCTTCAAATTAAGTTTAAATAGTATTTTTTTACCGGGTAATTGAAATGATGTAGCCCTTGATCTTGAATATTAAATAAATAAAAATGGGACAAAAAATATCATTATTACACCGTTATATTATTTAATCCATTTTTTTCTTCCTTTTTTAATCAAATTTAAACAATTAGTATTTCCTTCGTTTTCCTTTTCTCACTCGTTTTGGGAGAAAATATTCAATGTGTCAAAATATTGTTAGACAAAAATGGATTTTTTTATCGACTTTGAATCTAAATTAAAATGAGACTCACTCATCGTTTTGAGTAATTTTTTATAGCTTCGTATTCTACTCTGTGAAGAAAATAATATAATATATTCACTTACTCAAACCGAGTAAGAAGTGAATGAAAAAATTGACTTTAAAGTCACTGTCTTAAAATATATAAATAAATGTTTCGTAATATGAGATTTGACATCAATATCACATTAATCGGCCATGATTTGATGAGCATTTTATCTCAAGTTTACTCTATGAGTTAGACTCCAAGGGACACTCCACTATTATGGGTGGAACGAGACCTAGATAGACTTGAGTTTGATCACACAAGCGTATGCGCTTTGTTGTTTTGAGATCTGCTGCCGGCTCGGGTGTAAATGTGTTTCAAATTCAACCTTATGTTTTTAGAGAAAATATTTACTAAAAGGATCTTTAATTTCTTAACCCAAATTTTAATTTATACCTATTGGAATTCAAAATTCGCACGGGTTTAAATTTAAATTTAAATTTTCCTTCAATCTGAAATTGAATTTTGTTCCAGTTCATGAATGAGCAGACATTAATGAAGCCTTCTAGGTTGCACGGTGTCTTATGAGTTGTATTGGTCAATGATGGTTATTCCGAATAGTCACTTATGCATTTATAAATAATTTAAATTCATTAACACTCTGCACTTGCATAACTTACAAATCTCGTGATTAAGAGAGTTATTACATTCATTATCTTTGTCATTAGAAGTGTTCATTTCAAAGAGTACAAAACACATTCTGGGTCGTTGAGATAAAAGATTGAAATGTTGTTTGCGTACGTGAAAATTATTGTATCATGAAAGACAAATATAAAGATTTTTCATTAGCACCTGTGTGGAAACAAAATTTATTTTAATGACATTATCAAACACTAGCCTTGCGTATTTTACTGTTTCGTTTTTAATGAACATAATTTTTTTTTTTGTTGCTGTTTAGTAAATTTGCCACTAAAGAAAAAAAACGATTGTATGGGATGCGTTTAGTGTAGACAACAATCAACATTTCTCTCTATGTTGTGAACCCACACATTCGATAAGATTACTAAAGAATGTATGAGAATTGTATAAAACTGAATTATATGGTGACAAACAATGAACTCGGTAATAAAGGGCGTCACCTCTCTTCATAAGGAAAAAAGAATATTATTTGATCAAAAGTCCATTAATAATAAATTAAAATTATTAGATTGACAATAAACCTCCAAATTAGTTGAAATTCACTATTAATTCAATACATAAAATTAATAAATTAAGTTTAAATAATATTTTCTGAAATGTAAATAAGTGATCAAATATTTGCTTAACCATATACTTATCCAAAAAAAGAAAATATTTACAGCAATAATCTTCTATAGAAATATTNTGGAGGGAGTATCACTGTTTAATAATAAATTAGACATAACTCGTGTCTGAATGTACGGTGCAACATAAATAAAAAATAATAAATTTGGTAAGGGTGAAATTTAATATAAATAATTTTGAGAGTGATATTAGTGATCATTAAATGAATTGATTTAAGACCGTTAAATTTGTTTATTAAAGCCGTCATGTTTTATATTATAGATTTGAGACCGTTGAATTTGTTTGTTGAAATCACTATGTTATTATGTTATAGATTTGACACAAATAAAAAGTAATTTTCTATTATTTTTAATCTTTTTATAAATTCTATATTTGACTAATTTTTGTTTGTATATTCCATAATTTTTGAACTAAAGGAAGCTCCAACAAATCATATTAATACTGCAAAGAATCAATTTTAATTTACTGATATGGACTTTTTTTTTTGGTTTTTTTCTTGTACTTAACTTGATTGACCCAATTAAATAAATTTTTATANCTGATATGGACTTTTTTTTTTGGTTTTTTTCTTGTACTTAACTTGATTGACCCAATTAAATAAATTTTTATAGTGGGTCCAATTAAGAATATCTAAAAAAATTATAAAACATATATAACTAAAAAAAAATTCAAGGTGGCCCCAGGCCCCTCATCCTTCGCCAGTGTCTGAAAAGAGAGAGAGTGGAGAGTGAGAAAAGAAAAATAAAATTTAATTTAAATTATTTTGAGAGAGATGTTGGTGGTCTTTGGATGAGTTTATTTGAGAGCATCAGATGAACTTATTGAAGTTTTTCTTATTTTATATTATAGATAAATCCACAAAATATAATATAATTGACTTAAAAAAATTAATTTATATACATCTAATCAAAATCGAGTCAAATTTAATATAAACTCAAAATTTAATTTATCAAAAAGCATATCACCAAAAATAAAAAGTTATACAAATAAAATTTATAAAAAAATATTTTTTTAATTACTTCAAGTTATTACAAAATTATTAATTTATAAGAATATATTAGCGTTGAGTTTTCTTAAGATAAAAAAAATTAGTATTGAACTTTTAATTTAAAATATGTGTAGGACATGTTAGTTTGAGATAATTAATTAAATAAATAAAATTAAAAATTAGTTATATTCAATATAAATGTGTTAAGTAGCACCCTTGATAAGTTTTTTATAATTAAAATGTTATCATTGTGTCTTATAAAAATTCAAAATATTACACAAAATAGATGATATTAATGAAAATTTTGACTCATTTAATTATTATGTCAAAAAAAATCATGTGTTTCAAGATCAGCTGTAATCGTTGACCGGTTAAAAAAAAATATTAAGAAAAAAATGGTAGTTTATCGACCGTTAAATAAATGAATTTGGGATCGTAAGATGTGTTTTAAGATCAACCATAATTGTTGACCGATTGGGGGGATTATTAAGGGGGGGAAAAAGTAATTTTTTAACCATTTGATGAAATGATTTGAAACTGTTGAATTTGTTTGTTGAAACCACCCTATTTTATATTATAAATTTATATATGAATTAGATGAATTATAGTTGGATGGTTATTAAATGACATAACAAGATAGTTATTATAAGAGTGATGTTATTTAGACATAAAAATTTGATCTAATTTTGTGACATTATAATGTGATTTTTTTAAAACTATAGAATTGAGTGCAAATTCTAATGTTTTATGGGCCCAAAAATCAATCTTAAAGTTATAGTGAATCAATTACACCTAATATTTTTTCCTCTTAGAATATCTATATGAGATGATTTAAAACACATGAAACCTTCATTTTTTAGTTATTTAGCCCAAAAAATCCATTCCAACAGATTATATTTAAAACATATAAAATAATATTTTATTAAAGTGATACTCTAAAATATAGAGTATCATTATAGCGATATGTAAAATTTTTTTATAATATTTTATCTTTTTTCGTCTCTTTTCTTCCATTATTTCTCTTTCTCCCTTTTACTATTAAAAAAAAATAATACAAAAGGAATGATAAATAATATTTAAAAAGAGTAGTTAAAAGTATAGAAAATCTGTTAAAGTGTGTATTGAAAAAATAAGTAGATAAAATAAAAAATATTATTTTTTAAATAATTAAAATAATTTTTGTTATCGAAGATGCTCTTAATGGATTTATGGTCCAATTATTTGACAACAACTGTGTAAATTTGGGCTTTACGACCCAATGAATAGCTCTATCAATTTTGCGAGGATGGTATGTAAAATTGAGTTTTAACATGATGCCCAATCCGATTGATAAATTAATATAGATTTTTGCTCGAGTTTTTCTGTAGAAAGTTTAATTTAAAATTGAACTCAAATTTTGAATAAAAGTTGCACCCCACACACACATATATATATATATATATATATATATATATATATATATATATATATATATATATATATAAGAAATATTAGTATATGGCCTGCAATTACTTGAGTATAAGTTTAGTTATTCACTTTTTGAATTGGAATTTTATACTTGGCAATAAAACCATAATTATTTATAGATAGTGAGCAAAAGATATTTAAGTTCTTTTTATTACACTTTCACTCCCACTTGATGATACGTTGTGTATGCTGCAATATGCATACTGTGTATGGAAAACTACATCGGAGAAAAAAAGTCAAAGTTTTTGCAACCGACCATATTAGTTACCTCATCAAATGCGCCACGGCGCCGACACAGAGGACAAACTAACATTTCAATTCCCGTGGTTCAGCCACCCACTATTTGTTAGAATTTTTTTTTTAAACGTCATAGTACCGATTAGTTTATAAGTACTTTAAATAAAAAAAATATTAAATAAATTTAAAAACTTGATTTAATAAATTACTGTCATTGAAAGGATACTAAATTCTAATAAATATTAAGACTCGTAACTAAATCAATGACAAACATAACAATCGTATCATTAAGTCAAATTTTTAAATCTGTATAGTATTGCTCATTTGACTAATCTCCTTTCTAATTTAGTCAAAAATAAGTTCATTTATACCAATATTAAGATATTTACTAGGGACAATTTCTATTATAATTTAATCAAAAAAAATTGAAAAATTTAAACTTAAAACGTATTAATTTCGTATGGGGTTTACTAANCATAGTCAAAGTTTTTGCAACCGACCATATTAGTTACCTCATCAAATGCGCCACCGCGCCGACACAGAGGACAAACTAACA